AATGTCATCCAACAAATCAACTGTCATTCGGATAGCTTTCCGGATGCTTTCACAATGCAAGCTCTGTGACAAAATGTGACATAGATTCATGGATAAACAAACAAGCCTACCGACTAATGTTACACTAACTTTAGAACGGTCAAGGGTGGGGTTTATCGGTTATAATACTACCTACGCTCACGTGCGGAATGCACAAATCAGCCTGTAGAAGTTAATCCAGGTGTCTGGTGGTAGTGCTGTCAACATGTAGACGTTATTCCTAATCAACGAAACTTTTCAAAGTATTACGCAAGAATACATTGCATGTGCACTCAAATGCTTACCTGAAAAGTACAACAAATAGCAGCGAGAAAGTGAGGACTACAAGGTCGATAAATCAAGTGAGGAAACTAACTTCTTTTAATTTTTGTATTCAAATATAATTACAATTTTATATTGACACCCTCAAAATAACTTCCTTCTGAAACCACGCAGCGCTGGAAACAGTTCTTCCACTCCTCATAGAGGTGATGGAACTCCGATACTGTCACAAAATGATTTTTCAACGTCGGGAAGAGAAAAAACTCACAAGGACTCAAATCAGACGCATATGGAGGTTGAGGAGCCACAAAAATGCTTTTACTGGCCAAACACCCGTTTATTGCGTTGCTGTGTGACAAGGAGCATTATCGTGATGCAATACCCAGTTGTTTTTGATTTGACGAACGGTGGTATTAGCCAAACTTAACTCTTTTCCGGTTCTTGAAGATGAAGGCCTGCCGCTTCGTGATTCATCTTCAATCGACTCTCTCCCTGCTAAAATTGTCTTAAACCACCCAAAAATCTAGGCTCTTGACAAAACACTACATCCGAAGGCCTGCTAAAGTTTAGCAACAGTTTCCATTGCACTGTGCCTAAGTCTGAAGCAAAACCTGATAGCACACCAAATTGGTGTCAATCATTTTTAGAACACATTAGGAAAATCTGTCTAAAAAAAGTCGCTGCGGACAACCAAATGACTCGAGCGAGTTCAAACTGGTAGTGAAGGCGGATCACATTTTCCGCTGTTCCCTCCAAGCTCGGCGCCTCTAGTGTTGCCAGGTAACACGCTACGTTGCCAGTCTCGTTACTTAATTTTCAGACTTCGTATGATTGAAAGTAATGACATCTCTCACTAGTCCAAGTATAAACTCCGGTTTGCATCATTGTGATTATATCAGAGATTCGGAGCTGTAATATTAACCGCGTCTTCAGATCCCCAGATTCATATTTTTTCTCAATATGTTCCTAAAATATGAAAATTACCGTACATCTTTCATACCCTAATAAAACGTATACGATTCCGTTGGGAGGGACTCTGTCGTCTATAACAGCATTACGTTTCTTCGGCAAAGAGATTTCATAAGCCTGAAGACATCAGACTCTGAAAAAGAAGAGGACTAGACACACAGACGAAAGCGAAACTTGATTACATCCTCGGCTTACTATTGAAGGACTTTCACGCTGAATATGGCGTCGGTCGGAAGAGAGCGCCAGCGCATTCTAGACGAGCTTGATTTAATAAATGTTATTATGATGATGGCGATGCTATAATAGTTATGTGTGTTGTAACAGGACCGAATGTGGAATCCTTTCGATGTGAATGAATATGCAGTCATTCACAAAATTAAGTAGTGATTCCTATGGGTATGAAGAATAATTATCAATGTGGTATATATTTTGGACGTTCATCCTATTTACAATTGTTTGCATTGCATATATGCTGTTCTACCAAGTAGACAATTTTTACCAATACATAGTTCATGGATGATTCCGAAGATACAATGCTTTTCACAAGCAGGCCTCCGATTTGTTATATTAACAGATCCAGCTAGCCAACTGAAATCCGTAGTAACGCATTTGTGCATTGAAACAAGAGATAGCTGAAAATTTCAAGATGTCGCCTGGGTGTCAACTAGAAACATTCTTTAGACGGATAGGGCTGTCATAGTTGAGCGTTTTTGCACATTCAATCTCTTATCTTAACAATTAATTATCAAGACAATATAGTATGTACTATCAAAGTTGTTTCCCCGCAGCCGCCATCTTGAAACTTTTAACTGACACGATCACGCTAAGATAGAGTACCATGCATCAATTTCATTACCCTGAATTTCAACTACTTACTTGGAAAAAATGGATGGAGGAAAGACCTTTTTCAAAAGCACTGTGTAGCCTGTTTCGGTTGTGGTGTGGTGTAGATAAAGATATGCATATATGTATGCTATTGGGATATCATGGCCCCTAGCAAACAATCATCTGCGACAAAACGCTAAAAAGAAAACCATGTCAATATCGAGAGTACGGTGAGCTTCCAGTGACGTCAAAAACAGGGTCTGAGTTTCGTAAAAAACGTCTTCACAAAGGTTTCATGTCGTTCAATGGCGCTTTAAGAAAAATTTACAAAAACAATTCAGTAATAATTATAATAATAATGTTTATTAAAGTATTAAGAAATAATACAGTAAAGATATGAGTAAATATAATACGAAAAATTATACCCCAAAACGTTTCATTCACTAAGTGCAATACTACATCTTAGTAGGAAAAATCACATACATCACATATATGAGTAGGTATCTGACAATTACAGCATCAACAAAATTTTAAAAGACAATAATGTTAACAACGAGATCTATTCAACCATGTGTAGCAGCAACTTTTAACTGTAAAAGCATTCCTTTAATTCTCGTTTGAAGGTGTGATTGAAAAAAAATAGTTTGACATCTTAATTAAACTAAAACTTAATAGGGCCTGAAACTCTTCCTTGTGGAACTCCAGAAACTACAGTTCGTAAAGTAGACACTTTATTATGCAATTTCACACATCGAGATTGATCAGACGAGGAATTACTAGACGATATCAAGGCATTTCCGGTCAAACAATAACGATTTTTGGCACAAAACTCTGTGGTTCACCATGCCGAATGTCTTGTAGTAGCGTTATCACGCCATAATCTATAAATTTCACTATATCTGAAGAACTTTGAATGAGCGATGTAGATATATTGAGAAATTTCCTAATCCGAAACCCTGTCGAGCTCTAGATGCTCACAAAGTTCAACCTCAGCAATTTTCTCTAACAATTCGGACAGTGAAGGTAAAGCACTTATTGGTTTTCGTCTTATCGACCTATTGTCCTGCGCTTCTCAAATATCAAAGTAAACAAACTGGGGCAGTTGTTAAGTAGCGTGTGAGAGACGGTTGAGAGCGTGTTATGCACCAGTAGAGCGACATCATTGTATGTACGTATGTTTTGATATTTATGCGACGATTTCTATAAATATTGGGTGTTCGGGCACGTGATGTATGGGGATTTGCGTGATGGTACCAAGTAAACCTGTTTATCGCCACGCGGTTCCGTGGCTATGTGGCTCAAACACTGACACGAGATACTGCTCCTGCTACACTAAGTAGGACGGTGTGCGAAAAAAATAAGGTTAGTGGTTTGGTCAGATATTCTTCAGACATAATAAACAACTATCAGATAATCTGGAGTACATGAAGCGGGGCTTTGCATATGTATGAGTTCAAAACTTCACTTGGAAGGATCCATCCGAATATGTAATAAAATATGAAACCTTGCTGTCAGATCCGTCATTTTTTTTAAGCAGAATGTCCTATGTTTTTATGCACATTCAGGTATAGCCTTTAAAGAGAAGGGGACTATTAAGATACCTTATTTTCCTGATTTGCTGTTGAGTCATAAACGATTCAATGAACAAAAACAATCAAACTCAACAATCCGCTAGTCCGCCATTTTTGAATGATAGTGAAATTCACAATGTAAGGTTATAGAGGAGATCAAAATGAGGTATCTTCTGACCCCCCATTCTATGTAAGACGTTCTGCAAAATTGCATGCAGCAACCATCACTTTCATTACTCCAAATTCCAGCTTGCAAAGGTTCGAAATATAGGTGAGTGGGATTTCGGAAAGCGCTCTATATGGCTTGTTATACCTACTTTCATCAATTTAGCCATCAGCATACCTAACCTTTTGTTATTCCAACAAGACAAGTTAACAAGCTAAGATCCGGGGTAGTGAAATTTATGTATGGTTACTATATTTTAGCGTAAAAGCGCCAGTTGAAAGTTTTCTAACATTTCTTTAAAGGGAATGTGGGTTATGCAATACCTCATTTTGGAGCTATTTATAGATGATTTATAAGAAGAACTCTTCTCTGAAATAAATCAGACCGTGAGCCAGATTTCTGAAAAGAGCTACAGTCCCAGAGGTACATCAAGAAATCTGGTTATAACTTTCTAAACTTAAGTGCTGACACTCTCTTTTTTGTAAAGGCATAAGGCAAATGGATGATTTATGTTTACGCAGACGCTAATTTATAACTATCCACCTGTACAATATACACATTGTTAATGACTACAATATGTTGTCTTGGCAGAGGTGTATGTACAGATATATCGGTTCTTCAGATAAACATTGAAGAAAAAATGTGAAGTGAAAATTTGACACGATTTCTTTAAATGTTTGGAACATTGTATGTAAAATTGGGTTGCGGACACAATTACACGTATTGTTTTTATTGCAGACTTACAAGATCTACTTCCAGTGTACATAAACACACAGATGCTCTAATTATCGCTTCATCTTTCTACTGGGCCTATATTCATGTTGATAGTTCTAGAGCCTTTTTGTAAGACCTTAGTTAACTTACTGTAGATGTAATTACTGATCTTCACACATATTATGTAATTTGTGCATTTGTACGTGCCGTTGTTTTGCTCCTCTGTTAGTAAAACTATAAAAATGTGGTCGCTGTCGAAAATTGAATAACTTGCAGCAATAACATTTTTGACAAAATAAGGACCATCGTCACAGCAAATCAGACGGTGATTAGATATGTAGTGTGTACGGCGTTACCTTGCCTTGTGACTCGACGGTTCTGGTCGGCTGGCTGACCTACTCATTCAGGATCTCATCGCTCTTGTAGTACGAGTCATAAGAAATTAAGAAACCCCTATGCAGATAGCCTTGGACAGATCAGACCCTGTCTATAATGGGAACATCAACCCTCCCAAGTGCACGTTCAACAATTTTGTTGGATCATCTCGTGAGTTTATGTCATCAGGTATGAATACTATGTTAGGAGATGGAAGGATAGTCTTAAGGAGTCTCTTGTGAACCTTCATAGAGTTTTTAAAGAATTACCAAGTTCTTTACAAAAAACAGTATTTTCTATTATTTATATTATACAGTTCTTAGTGAAGGCTTATTAAAGGGTAAAAGAAACTGGGCATGTCAAAGCTGTTATTTTCTGAATGGAATATCTCAAATTTTATTGCATATTGGGTTAAACCAATTCAAAAGAAGTTTAAGTTTACTAGAGCTGTATGGTATTTTGCTCAAAAAAACTCCCAACTTGAGGAACGCGTTAGTCCACCATTTTCATAGACTTAGTGCTGAATCTTCAATCAAAGAGCACATACATCCCACCATATTAACCTTATTTGTTAGTTTATTGAGTTCCCATTTTCGTTTATAGAGGTTAGTCAAAAACGCAGAAAATACTTTTTCTCAAAAATTTAAAATGCTGCACCCTGTATATTGCATTTTCAAATTCACTTTTTGATCGGCTGTTTTTGGTATGGAATTAAACCACTAATTATTGAGCATTTGAGTTTTCTATTAAACACCACACCAAAATTAAGCAATAAATCACGTCATCCATAGCCACAAAAGACAGTTACTGTAACAATTAAAGATATTCCATTTACTTTCCTCTACTGTTCTTGGTTGTTATTTGCATTGAAAAGCTCTGCAAACTAATTGATTATGTATTTCTTGATTTTGTAGTTTGACGTATAACATTCGTATCGTCAGATCCGTTAAGCGTAATCACCACTGGAAAAAATTAATGCGGACCCCCAAGCAATTAGGTATGGAACCATGCAACACTTGGCCTCAGGTCACGAATAGCAAAGGACCGACAGGAGCATGGCATCTGTATAATCTGTAACATAAAATTATACATTTACGTAAACCTAATTACATTCAAAGCAAAATCTATGATGTTGGTCATGATTACAATTACTGTACTTACAAAACTAAACTGTTATAAACAACAACAACGATAACAACAAGTCTTTGATCAAATGACCCTTCCATATCCTTCAGCATATATTCAATTATATTCTCGAAAGCGTATTTTGTCCTCAGTATCTTCAGCGGTAGTTGGAACAGTACAAACTTGTTATTTAAGCCTTATAAAAGAAAATTCATAGAAGTGAGATCCGGTGACCGACGAAGCCAAGATGTTGGCCCACCATAACCAAATAGTTACGCAGACGATGATTATAATGCGGAAGTGCGCCATCACCTTAATAGTATACCTTCAGGCGATCTTACAGGTCAGCCTCCTCCAAAAGCTGAGGCAAATAATCCATCAAAAAAATCAAGTATTCCGCACTTGGAAAGAAGAGGCCCTATTAGCTGTCTGTCAGAGATACCTCTCCTAATATTAATGCTCCATTTGTTTTAAAAATCTATTTAACTCAGAAGGTATTTTTTGTGATATACTAGTGCATTTTACGCTTGCTTACAACACCTATACTGATGAGACTCGGCTGATCATTAGAAGGAACCTAATCCTTCAATTTATTTAGGATTATTTTGCTGAACTCCATTCGAGCTGCGACACCCTGAGATCGGAAGCCTTAACGTAAGTATAGGTTGTATGGATGTTACTTAAAAAGACAGCTAACCACGGACCACTTTTGGCTACTCATCAGCATTGGTCTTGCGTCTCTGGGACAACGAACGATAGCTTTGCCACCACCCCCTATCCCGGAGGTACGGCGGTCTATCGGAGTAAGACAGCGTAAAGAGCCATCTATCGACAGAACCGACCATTGCGAGAGCGCATAGCGGTTATTTGCTTTTTTTTCTGTAATTGTTCTAGTTGATAATTCTTTCTACCGACTGTCGTACAACAACATGGTTACGGTTTAAAAGGAAACGCCATTTAGTATGCAGGCGTACCGGATTTGACTACCCAGGATCAATCCTGAAGGTTGATGGTTATTTCTTATGAGCTGTTCACCGAAGAAGACTACGGCAAATGGGACAAGTTTTAAAGGTGTTTTCATCCTCCACAGCTCTTTTGAATATCATTTAGATTAACAACTTTTAATTTTTTTTTTATATATGCCTAAGAACAGTTTTCTCAAGCTTGATGCTTAATAGAAAAGTTATCCAGCTAATTTTTTTTTTGTTTTTCTAAATGGAATTTCCACGTTTAACAATGCAATTTTTGCCAGAACAGGGCTTGTTTTTGCATGGTAAGCCTGATCTATAAAGCGAGATGAACAAACACTTTTCAGGTCACTAAATGTAAATCCCCACTTCAGGATCCAATAAACCTGTATTACCTGGAAATGAAAAATCATGTAGGGTCCTTGAACAGATATGCAAACTTATAAGTGCAGCTGAGGATATCGTTCTAACACGATCTTTTGCATTATTGAGGATTCATGTGGATTATTAAAGAAAAATAAAACTTACATTGATTGATTGATGTAATGTATATAATTTCCTATGACCAACAATGCAATAAATATTATCTATATATCTATCTATCTTCACACGCCCCTCCATCCAGCCACAAGTTAGAGGTGGCTAGGATACTTCGGCACCAATGGCGAATTTAGAAATCACCTGTCTAGGGGGGCACAGTGGTGATCGCAGTGTTCATGTTCAGGAACATGTTGGTCTCGGCGGGGCGAGAGGGGGGAGCAAAGCCGGCGGTATGCTTAAGCACTTACGCAACGTTTCTCACAGCGAATGGCACTGTGACATTTGATTTGAATAGCGGGGGGGGTATACATCTAGGGGAGCGCACCTGTCACGATTTTTACAGTTTTACAGTAAGGTACACCAATGCCCGACCTGCTTCTTCGGCTGCAAAATGATGACCATGTATTCTGACGCTCGCGATTGCTTTCATTTCTACTACGTCCTAGGTATGACTCACTTGTAATAGCAGTATGTGTTGCCTAGACGTTCAGTATGAGCTGACTTCTGTAATTTATTTGACTTTAATTGAAGGTAGCTGACCTAACACTATATTCGCGAGTCAAAAATTATCTGAGATAAATGAACATTGGTTGAAATCGGATGAATTGAGCTGTCTGCACATTAGTGGCTATAGAGCTGTTTCTAGTTTTTATAGGACAATTAAGATAAGAGGTGGTGTGGTGATTGCTATTCATGATTAATTTGTTGCTGAATCCCTTATCATAGATATCTAGAGTCTATCTGATGAAGTAAACTTTGAACTAGCTGGTGTGATTATTGGTGATGTACAACTGGTTTCGCTTTACAGATCCCATAGTGGTAAGTTTAATTCTTTCCTGTTGAAGCTATTTCTGCTTCTAGATAAGATTAATAACAATAAATTGCTTATTGTTTTTGACACCTATTTTTCAGATCACTTAGCAATTGACTTCTCCATAGAATATAAGCCGTATCCACCAATATCTAAAAGTTTTAATTATCGTCCAATTACAGATATTGGGATTTTCAATCTATATAACAGTATTGAGCACATAAATTGGGACTTTGTCGAGAATCATGATGTCTATTGAACGTATAGTCAAAAAATTCGTCACAATCCTGGTCGATGAAATTGATAGAAATATTCCAGTGGAATCAAAAACTCTAAAAAACAGTATTAATTTTTGATTCATCTTGGTTCAACTTAAATCTTCAGCGCATGAGAAAGCAATACCAATTTCTGTCAGAACTATACAAATCTCATCCTCAAATTGTTAATAACACTGCAAATAATCTAGTAGACCAAATTCCATCTTCAGCTTCAACTGATACGAGCTATTTGCATGAGGTAACTCATACAGAAGGTTTTATTTTTAAGGAGGTTACTTACAATCAAGTCAGGGCAGCGATAGATAAATTTAGAAAATTTAAAAGTTTTGATGTTTTTGGTTTCAATGCGAAAATTATTACAACTATTCAAAATCTCACAATTAGACCATTAACAAAATTATTCAATTGGTGTATTTCAAATGGTATATTTCCTGATAGTTATCCACCTCTTTAAAAAAGGCGATACCAAAGATCTTTCAAATTATAGACCTATTTCACTTATATCCCTACTTGCTAAAATACTTGAAATTCTTTTGAAAGATCAGCTGACTGAGTATTTTGAAAGCAACAGCCTATTTACTGACTGTCAGTTCGGTTTCAGATCAGGTAAGTCTACCTCTCAATCTATTGACAGCTTCATTGAGAAAATAAATGCAACTTTTGGAAATTGTGCTTATTGCTTAGCTAATTGTTTTGATCCTGCTAAGGCCTTAGATTGTGTCCAACATGACATTCTTCTACAAAAATTGTCGCATTACAAGTTCCATACTAATAGCATTAGGCTCTTGCCATCTTATTTGAACAACAGACAGCAGCTTGTAACCTTCAACAACACTACCTCCAGTACAATGACAGTTTCATGTGGCGTCCCCACAGGGTTCTGTGCTGGGTACAATTTTATTTTTACGATACATTAATTGTAATACAAACAACAACCTTATACTGTTTGCCGATGATACAACAATGCTCTTCAATAGTAAATCAATTGATCTACTTCTCTCTGCGAATATTGAATATTCAGTGAATTCAGAAAATTGTTTTTTAGCAAATAAACTGACACTTGATGCTTCAAAGACACAGTCCATGGTAATAAGTTTGTGTCACCATAACGTCAATACCGTAGACACAGTAAAATTTTTGGGTGTCAGTGTTGATAGACACATGACTTGGGAGGGACATGTAAACAGTATTCTCAGGGGACTATCCAAAACCATTTATTTAATTAGGAATCTGAAAAGCTTTCTGGTGATACGTTGCTAACCACATATAATGGATACTTCCACTCAAGAATGTCATATGCACTTGTGAATTGGGGTCACTGTGTGCATATGCCTAAGGTATTTGCACTCCAAAGGCGCTGCATCAGAGTCATGGTAGGTCTGAGTTATATGCAGCCATGTAGGGAGGCATTCATCAACCTAGGGATCCTTACTCTTCCATCTCTATATATATTTATCTGCTTATGTT